TAAGAGCTGGAGCTGAGGAAGACAGAGATACCAAAGACTGATACTGAAGACTGTGAACATCAAGCAGAGAAGTTCAAAGGACAAGACCTGAAGCCAAAAAGTCCCAGCAAGTGAGAACACTGCCTTGAAAACACACTTATAAGCGAAGTGTGCAGACACCAAAAGAAGTAACACAGTCTTTTCAAAAAATACTGTGAAACTAGTTATTTATCCTGTGCTACAGATCATGCAAGTTGCAGGTGTTCTGTATTCCTGGGAACAATTTTTAAAGAAAGAAAATTCTGAAATCACAGTGCATCAGAACACTTTGGATGACACTATCTAGCTTGGGAGTGTAAGGCTGCATGTAAGCAGAAGTCCTGAAAGTCTCTTTATGCCTAAACCTGTCAGATCTTTAAATAATTTTAAACTAAAAATGACACTGAAAGGAGAGGCATTTACATTTAAATAAAAAAATTCCACTTTGATTCCCCTGGAGGAGAAGTCAGAAGATGACCAAGTGCAGTAGAGACGCATTAGTGTATTAAAACATAAAGTGCGGGAATCAAATGAAAATAATGTGAAGGTATGCTGCTTTAGCAGGATTTCTTACATGCTAGACAAGGTAAATTGGTGCACATGCTGTGAATGCAGTCCTCCTACATATGGGCTTGTTGAATACACAGAAAAGGAGGTGAAAGGGCCACAGCATATATAAAAAATATTTACAGTGACTAGTCTGATCTGTATCTTTAAAGAAAAGCATAAGAAAATTTGCCATATGCTTTAACGGCAGCAACTCTTGGCAATCAGCAAAATGTAGCTCTGAAATAAAAAAAAAAAAAAAAAAAAAAAAGAAAAAAAAAGAAAAAAAAAGTGATCAAAAATTACCTGTGGAAGTCCTCACAGTCCAAAATTATTGCAACTCACAATACATGTTGCTCATGGGAGATTTTAACAATACAAATTTGTACTGAATAATGCAAACAGTCTGACACTGATGAAAGTGGCTCCCTGTTGCCTGTGATCCAGAAAGTAAAAACTTCAACCCCAGGAGAATCTGTCTTAGAAGCAGTACTTATTTATAGAGACTCCAAGACTAAGGAAAGCTGTAATGGAGGTAATCATAATGAATAGCTTGAATTCAGCAGAAGCAAGAAATAGGTTCAGAGAGTGCAAGAACAGAAGGAGATGCAGCTGCATCAAGGAAATGCTGAGGCCTTAAGAAATCTGAAAATATGGAATTAATGTAGTTTAGCTTTTGCTTTCAGAGGATGGAAAAAGGTGCTCTCTTTCCATTCTGTGTTTACTAAACATCTGCAGGCAAATTTTGTAAATACCAGATGCTCAGTGAAGTATCTCTTAACAGGTTGATAAGCTTATTCCAGAACAATTGAATATGTTTGGAAGCCGTCAGTGCTCTTGCACTCCACATTATTTTGACTTTGCCTCATCCTGTGCTTTACAGCAATGAGAAGCAGCTGGTTTAAGTATCATTTATGCCTGAATGGCTGAAGATAGCAGTAGATAATAAGAAATAAAGAAGAGTGAATTTAAGTCTTTCCAGAAAAAAACCCAAGAGTTCAGGCCAGTGTTTCAAAATGAAAAGGATATGTAAATAAAACAGGAGGCGGCCCCAAAGGAGCATAAGTATTGTTGGGGTGCAAAGCACATCAGCTGGCCAGATCACCTCCATGTCTTCTGAGAACCTTCTTCCATGGTTGAGCCCTTAGTAAGAAACTCCAAACCTCATCCATGCCAGAAGGAGACTCAGAAGATGGTCAAGGTGGTCCAAAGAGGGTTCTAAGCTCATTGGGGATTTTACTGCGATTTTAGGACTCATTTCCAGACAAGGCTTCTCCTCTCACTTCAGCTGCACTAGTTATTAGCAGAGGCTCTTGGGACTAGCCAGAAGGATTTTCTGTGGATGTCCCACAAGGCTCACAGGACCTGTGTGTAATACAACAGTTGTCTCACACCTGGAAATTGCTACACATGAGATAAAATGGAAGCAAATTATTTAAGAGATTAGTTAGGAGAAGTTAATTATGGTGAAAATAAATGGTGGAATTAAAAGAAAAATAAAGAGAGAATATTCAGTTGGAGCATTAGCTAAACTACTTCAAGCTGGTGAGTAACATGATAAGTCATTATTGCAAAGCATTGGTATTTGGGTTATATCAAACTAGATATACTACTAGAAAATGCATCCTGGAGGACAAGCCTGCCATGACAGGAGAATGGAATGCACAAGGTGTTTTTGCCTTTTTTATTCTTTGTCTAGGATATTTCACATATTCTGTGATATGGATTTGCAGTCTTTGAGCTTTGTGAGGTAATTCTGAGACAGCAACCAGTAATTTACATAATTAGCATAACAGTATTTAATTACATGATTACTGTAAATATGTGTAAAACTCTAATGTTGTAATTAGAATGTGTAATTACTACTTGTAATTACATAATTAGGTATGATGACATAAACAAAGTTCTCATAAAAAAAAGAGTATTTACAAGCTCAGCTATAGGAACCAGTGTAGTACACAATTATATTGGTGGCATAAAAAGAAAAGTTGCCATTTTAATACTAGCTGTGCTAAAGCTAGCTCAAGAGTAGATGAATGCTAGAAGTTTGTGAACTGTGCCATAGCGCTAGAAGAATGAATTGACTTTCCCGAACAGAGGTAGCTCAATGATTATAGTCAGTACAAGTATTACTCCCAGCCTTAACTATTTGTCATTTACTGATGACTCTTCAGATGTTTACCTGACTAACATGAGTTTAAAGTGTGGTATAACAGAAGTAATCAAATATCTGCATTGTGTAGAATTTTTAAATTATTGGTTTAAGTAATATATTACTTTTAAGTCTTCAAAGCACATCTGATTTCACACTCCTCCCATAATAATGTCCTGTGACACCACACTGGCGGGTCCCTATGCAGAGGGCGTACAGAAGAGGAGTTTTCTACCACTACACTCTAGTGCTGCATTGCCATGCCTTCCACTTAACCATACCATACATGATCTGCAGCTTGCAAATTAACTGTTTCTGCGAAGCATATTTTAAAAATCATTGTCCTTGATCTCTACACCAAAGTAATTTAACTGTTGTATAGAACCATCACAAGTATAAAAAGAATTTAACTCTCAATAGAATTATCCTTCAAATACCTTAGTGTTCTTCCCAATGAGTTAGACAACGGAGTCTTGGGTCAGAGCTATGAGTATGTATCTGTAGAAGCATCTCCAGAAAAATCGTTTGACTAGGTGTTTGGCTTAGCAGTGGAAATACCCCAAGCATGACCAAGAAAGACAGATTGTTGGTAGAATATTTTGCAATTCAGTAACTGACATTAGCAGTTGTTTCAGTATACTACAAATTATTTTTTGTGCACATATATTTTGTTATATGCTCTCCAAAATAGAAATCTGTATGTGTAGATATATATACACATAAAAACAAATCCAGTACAACATGTAATATGTACCACTTCACAAAATTAATATTTACATGTAATTACATATACATCTATAAAAAGAAAAATAGATATGAAATAACAGATGATGATCCATAAAATGGAATGATCACTTCAAGTAATCCATCTACCTTGTTTCTAGCAAAACAGGAGATTAGTGTTATGTGATCTACAGTCTGAGCAATGTTCAAGATTCAGCCAAAAGACCAGAAGGGATGAACCTTGAAGCTGTGGATGGGATTCCTGATAGAATTCTAAATGGAAATTCAACTGCACCTTATATATACATGAAGTATTTCACCAGCAACTTTTACAGAAAACTTTAATAGATGTTCATTTTTTACAAATTCTTTAAGGTAGCCATATAGGCTTGTAAAATTGTCAAAGCAAATCTTAATATTTGATTGATCTCTAGAATGATAAATGTTACATTGGATGCCTGAAATCTTTTCCCTGATGCATATATAAATCTGGATATTTACTGAGGCTACTTTAGAGAATTTCCAGCTTGTCATTTGTGGTTATTGGTCTATGTTATTTTCTTCTCCCTTCATCCCCATGCATCCACAATGTGAACACAGAAAAATTAATCATATTCTTCAACTTTGTAATGGTTTCATTTATTTAGTATTCACCTTGCACCATTTAGAAAAAAAATTTCCTACTACACATGATAGGTCTTCCCTGAACTAGAAATCTCCTTTCTTGAATGCGGATGACTCCAGTATTTCAGGTATTTTGAATGTAGTATCTAATACTACAAATGCTAATATACAAATACTTTCATTTTTCTCCTTAAGGTACCAAGCTTGATGTATCTTGGGACTATATTAGCTTTTTCCACAACATCATCATATTAGCATCCTTTGTTTGACTAAAACACACAGGCGGTATTTCTCTGCAGTATTTCAAATCCATGAGCCTCTAAAATCCACTACTAACTGTTAAGATAAGGTATATTACATATTGTACCAAAGCAGTTTATTTTTGTTATTTTACTCTTGAAGATTACCTAGCCTTTCATACATGAAGAACTCCCTTGTAGTAATGTTATTGGTAAAATCATGCAACTCTGTTCCCAGGACAGATCCTGGAGGAACTCCATTAATGTCTTCTCTGTAAACCAGTGGTCCAATTTTCAGAGGTTAGTGACATATCAAAGAAACATATATTTTTGCCCTCCTCTTACACTTGTTGATATCTGCTAACAATTACAGTTTATGACAAGATACTTGGCCAGATGAACCCCTAGCCTTAATTGGTTTTTGTATTTTTCTGCTTCATGCTATTTACTCCTTCTTGTTTGATTCTTAGACAATAATTTTGTATTTTGCAAGTCTTTCCATCATATCAGATGCCTTGCTTGGACTTGTGACAGATTAGGTTTCTTAAACTTCCTTCATTTTGAAAAGAGTAAGGCTCTTTTGAGCATTATGTATTTGTAGAGCAGAGAAATATTTCCACAGTATACTATAGTTGTTTCTGCAAAAGAAAATATGTATTTTATATTAAAAAATAGATATAAAAACATGCAATACTTACTCTGTTGGCAGTTTCTTCCCATGAATTCACCTGGGCACTCACAGGAATAGTTAGCAACAAGATCTGTACAGATTCCACCATTCTTGCAGGGTTCAGCTTCACATTCATTTACATCTGCAGGAAGCACACAAGATAATGTCAGGATTAGCAAAGAGAAATCGTAAAAGTAATAAGCACACATTTCAAAGCACTAAACCACAATGTATTTATACAATTGACATTAGAAGACATACTTTCTTTTGCTCAGCAAACACGCTCAGAAAAGGACGCGATTAAACAGGGCATGCTTTAGGAAAAAAAAAAAAGCAATCTTTTCTATATTTAGCTAGTTTCATGTATCTGCTAAAGCTTTACCGTTTCCCATCACACAACAGTATTTGAAGTTGGGGATTTTCGCTATAATTTCTGGATGACATCAGGGCCAAAAGTCACAGTTTGGTCTTAAATAAAAATTTCAATTTGTTCTTACAGAGTACTTATTAATGATCCTTGCAACTTCAAGAAATGTAGCTACTTCTTTATCAACAGATGCCAGTTAAGAATGTCTCTCAGTTCATCTTAATTCATTAAACATCTAATTGACAAGGTTGTTTAACCGTCTAAAAAATTTCCTTTCTTTGCATGAGTTAGTGAGTAAATTGAGACTAATAGCTTGATCTAGAAACTTGCAAATTTTATTAAATTCAAAAGACAGAAAAGGTGGTTAATTTCATTTGAGTTTCCCTTTTCCAGTACACTTTGTCAAATGCTTCAAGAATAATACTCCCCTGTGTTTTTCCATGTAGTAACCTTCAAGTATAATATCAGATTCTTTTTCTCAAATGCAATATGGTATTTTTCAGTCATCACACATAGGCAGCTGAAGGATAATAGTATGTCATAATTAAAAATTCTCTCTCTGCATTTATGTTTATTCTGTATGGAGTAGAAATTCTGTATGGATTTTATACATATTTGTCTCAAAAGGCTTCATCAATGCATACAGTTAAATATTTAAAAGATGCTAGCCCACACTAGCTTCATTAAGAGTTAAAGTCCTGTTGCATTCGACACTGTAATCAGCAAACAGAAAAGCTGTCTTGTACTACGATTCTACTTCACTCAGTCTTGCTTAAATGCATATTCATTTTGAATATAGTTACCATATAGCACAGAACTAAGTTCAAATGAGAAGACACTTAACTGTGTCTAGCTGCATTCATTGGTGGGGGAAATGCCCCGTGAATTGCAATAATACTCCTCACTCTTGTGTTGAATCTGCTTCTGACCCCAAAATGCAAAACCAGATTGTGCTGGCATATACAAACTAAATAAGATTCTGCATAAATGTCTAAACCTGATGCGATAAGGCTTATGCAGAAGAAGCCAGCTCTGTCAAAAAAAAAGCTGCTTAATTTCTTGTAGTTGAATATGTAACTTTTGTACTTTTGATTTTATTTTTTTACATTTCTAGGAATCAACGTACAAAAATTCAGTGTTTCATTCCATACAACTTGTCTAGATCTGACTGATTTTGTGATGTCTCCAGGGAAGTTTGTATCTTCCGTCTTTTCTGCTGATCTAAAAAGCTGTGTAGCTTTTAAGTTATGTATGTGAGGTGGGTTGAAAACTGGCTGAATGGCTGGGCCCAGAGGGTGATGATAGGGGTATAAATCTAATTGGACGCCAGCAATTATCAGTGTACCCACGGAGTCAATACTGGTCTGATCCTGTTATCACCTTCATTAATGACCTGGATGGTGGGGCAGAGTGCACCCCAAGCAAGTCGGCAGATGACACCGGGAGGAGTGGCTGATACACCAGATGGGTGTGCTGCCATCCAGAGGGACATCAACAGGCTCGAAAAATGGGCCGAATAGGAACCTCATGAAGTTCAATAAAGGCAAGTGCAAAGTCCTGTCTCTGCCCCTGGGCAGGAACAGCCCGATGCACCAGTATACACTGACAACAAGTTGACCATCAGACAACAGTGCACCCTCATGGCAACCAAAGGCCAACAGCTTCCTGGGCTGTGCTAGGCAGAGCATTGCCAGCATGTGGAGGGAGGTGATCCTTCACATCTGCTCAGCACTGGTGAGCCACACCTGGAGTGCCGTGTCCAGTTGTGGGCTCTCCAGTAAGAGCAAGACATGGACAGAGTGGAGAGAGTCCAACAAAGGGCCACTAAGATGATTTAAGGGATCGGGGCACCTCACCTCTGAAGAAAGGCTGAGAGAACTGGCATAGTTTAGCTTAAGGAAGAGGAGTGTCAGGAGGAAACTCATCAATACATATAAATAACTGAAGGGATGGTGCAGAGAAGATGGAGCTAGACTCTTTTCAGTGGTTGCCAGTGGCAGGATAAGAGGTACTGAGAACAAACTGAAACACGGGACATTCTGTCTCAACACTCTAAACACTTTTTTACTGTGAGGGTGACTGAGGTATTTGTGGAGTCTCGATCCTTGGAGATATTCAAAACCATTTTGGATATAGTCTTGGTCAGCCAGCTCTAGGTGGCCCTGTTTGAGCAGGTGGGCATGGACCAGATGACCTCCAGAAGTCCCTTTTACCTTCAACCCTTCTGAGGTTCTTTGATAATCTGGACAGAAATGCAAGGACAGACCTTCAGCTAAATGTGAAGCTAGATTTAGTTCTTTGAACTGGAAAAAATTCAGATTTTTATACTCAAATTGACGATAATTACTGATCTCTGAGCTTCTTTTTAATCCCTCATGTCTTACTTTTTGTTGCCTATAAAGATATCACATGCTGGACTAATAAAAATTCACAGGATTAGCTGAATTTCTGTCTATTACAGAGGAGGAAGAGGAATAACAGCTTAGTGTGCGAGAAATAAAACCTGTCAAGGGAAATGACCAATGAAAAGACCTGCTCAATTCGAAATTAAATTCTTTATATGTATTTATGAAATTTAACAAGATTCTTGAGCTCCCTATTTGCCTTTTTAAGCAAAGCCCATTAACCTTACATTTTCATCAGGTTATTAATCATTTTAATATAGCCTAACACAATTGTAGGACAAAAATATCAAGGTCACTGTGAACTAAAAAAACATTAAGTGAACATATGAACTATCCCTTACTTCATGAAATAAAGGTATAATTTATCCTCTTAAAAGCTTTTCTGTGTAAAGATAATATCTTCTCAAGATATTTAAACTTTTCTAATATGCCATTCTGTTGAAATACATAGGAAAAAAATGCACAGCTTTCCAGCGTATTTCATATTGTTGATACGATGATGCTGAAAACAGACTGAACCTTAAGTAGCAGATACTTTTAAAGCAATCCTCATATTCTGTCCATATGGAGCAATTAGCTATGATCAGTACAGAAAGATGGAAGTTTTTTATTGTCATCTTTATTAGTTGGATCCTACAGTGATTTTTTTTTTTTCCCCAGTAATTTGAGAACTTTTCATTCCATCAGTTCAAATATGTCCTATTTGATGAATGAGGAATGACTAGCTCATTGTAGCACCATGTTTGACACCAGCACAGATGTTTAGCTGGAAAGATATTGAACTAAACTGTGTTAAAGAAAGAAGTGTAAGTTCTACAGAATTATTTAATTTACTATTTATTATTTCCATTGATTGAATGTACAGGTATAGAACATTTAATTAAAAGGGTTAAATTAATTTTGGTCAGACTTTGTTCAAATTCCTAGATGTGTCATTTGTGATACTCAACCTTACATCAGCTGGTGTGTTTCTTTCTTCTGAAACACATATATTCCCTTTTAAACTTTGTTATATTGTCACAATTGGAAGTAAATTTGAGTAGAAAATTTAAAATGCCAGAGTTTCTCCTTAGTTGCTCCTAAACACAATAAAGGCTCCTAAAGAAAAGCTCTCTGTATGTTGTCAGATACAAATTCTTCACCGACTATACAATCAACCTACCTACATCAGAAGGATGTGCTTTTAACATAAGTTAACTAAAACAAAGTAAAATCACTGCAGGTTGCTCATGATTTTTCAGGTAAGCTTAGGTTTTATGACAGGTCAGATTTTGAAGTGTAGTTCAGATAACAAACCTAAGCATCGCAGTCACTAAAACACAAGACAGCTGGGTACTAACCAGAGAATTCAGGGTTCCTCACAGGAGGACCTACTAAAACTGAGAGAAATGGTGTCCTGAAGAGGTTTAAGTGCCACCACAGAAAAAGCCTGTAATTCTAAATATTGTCCAGGTTACCTAAAAAAACCCTGCAAAATGCCAAAAAAACTCAAACACAAAAAACCTAATGGCCACCCTACCCAACTGGTAGTAGTGTAGGAACAAGGAAAAGCTGACCATTTTCTGAAAATAGATTGTTCCTTGTATAACAGCTTGAAGGGCTAAGACAGTTGATTAGGAATTAAAGGCTATGCTAACGTTTATTTTTATGCTGAAGATGATTACATTGATATTTTCTACTTCCTAAAATCAAACCAGATGTACAAATATATTAAGCACGCTTCTGTTCAAAGTACAGTCATTATGCACCTTGGAACAGAAGTATGCTGTCAGAAACTGGGCAAGCAAAAGAGAACTTCGCTATACTACATAGTTATTTGGAGAATTATCATGAGGCAGAGCTCTGGGTTTTTCTCCTTCTTTGCTGGATTATATATTTTTATTAATCCTCTAAGTATTTAATAAAACATGGATAAAAACCAGTACTGTACTTGCAAACATAATTACAAATACAAATGTAAATTATGTAACTGTTATAATCAAAAATTTAACTATTACTTCCAGTAATTTGAGATCTTCAGCAAGCTACTTGGTGTAAACCTGACTTTTTGTGATGAAAGGACTGATAAGCTCAATCAGTTGTTTTTGCCAACACAGCTTGTGTTTTGGCTGCAAATGCACACCAGTATCTTGTTCCTGTTCCCTGCTTGCTTGTTCTTTATGTAGCCCAAATTCCTGGTTCCTGCCACCTGAACGCTTGTTTCTGATCCAGGACCACCTTTTGCAGTATGGACTTCCTGAAGTTCCCTCCTGCTGACAGTACATTCCTTCCCTGTCCTTTGATTTATACTCATTTCGGCTTCCTGCTCAGCCTTGGTCTGCTCAAGTCTAATTCATGTTTTTAATTAGTCTTGATAATGTCTGTCTTGAT